AACCAGTCTATTCCCTGGAAGTCACTGGGGAAGGGCTCCACAAAGGGAAGATGGCACATGTGCAGTGAAGTCGGGGTGACATAGGGAAGGGGCCTGTCTGTCAGTCTAACCTGGGAACAAAGATCATTGGCTGAAAAGGTGCACCCCAGTGCAGGCCCATCAACGTTTGGGAATACAGAGTCACCAGACTGAGAACTCTCTCTCTCTGTTGCTCTGGCTTGCTGTCCTGTTACTTCCTTGCTAGTGACCCTGCTAGGCTGCCATGTGGTCCTAGAAGCTGAATGGAGCATGGCCATGCAGACCCCACATGCCATGGACCACAGCTGGGAGCACAAGCTCCCCCAGCCAGATGCTGGACTGGACGGGACTGTGCAAATATGGAGCAGACACTGGGAATGGCTGCAATCCTGGTTCTGCTGAATACAAAATGGGGCTTTTTCATGGCAGGACAGAGGGAGATGGGCCTTGGAAACTCAGGGTTTAATTCCACAGAAATAAAGCTTCCCCAGAACCTCATCCTCCTGTGGGGCCTCAGGACATTTTTGTTCCCGTGGCACCCCAAGAACTCCACTCCCACCAGGAACAGGTGGAGACTTTTGGAGCACCCCACTGATAACACACCCAGAGCAAAGTAATGGTTATTATCATTCTTTTTATGACAAGTGCTTTCAAAGAGGGACTTTGCACTTTTTCTCCTCCTGAGCAAGCTTTCTTTTCCCCACCCTTTTCCTCCAGATCAGAGACTCAACTGCAATGAAGACCTAAGGAGGGCCGTTGTTCTGTGGTTTTCAGCTGAAAGTGCCAACTGTAAGTGGGGGAGTTGGTAAAAGCCAGGGCCCCAGGTCTCTTTAGGAGAGAGGCTGATAAGCTGGGTGAGCCTGCAGGTGAGGACATGGTGAGACCTGGTTGGCAGGGCAAGGTAAGGCCTGAACTCAGAAATCTGTGGGAGGGAGACAACCAGAATGAGTGAGCTTGACAACTGCATGTTCCTAAGAACTTACTGTGGTCATTAAGGCCTCTGACAGGCTTGCCTGCTTCTCTCTGGGATGTGTTCTAAGAGATTCTAAGAGACATGTCGATACTGAACCAAGGTTCAACTGCCTGCCACTGGAAAGACCACATAGAGATCATGGGACTGGTGGGAGGAATGTCGGTTTATTCTAGAGCCTGCAGCTTCAGAAGATGGAAGACTCATGCTGTAAAGACAACTGGACACGGGCAGGGGTTTTTGTGAGGAAGAGGAGAGGGGGGAAGAACAAGAAAGGAACAAAAAGGAGGGGGTTGAGGGTTCTCCGTTGAGGGGACTAAGTGCCAGCCAACACGGTCTGTGCAGATTACTGGTTGAAGGTCAGCAAATCTTCGCAAATGGAATGTCTGGAGGTTGGAGTCTGCATTTCCTGAAGTTAGTGCCTAGAATTCTTAAGCGAACAGGCTGTTTATGTGCAGTCACATTTACAGAAATAACGTTAAAATAACGGTTGGGTGGGTACAAGATGTGCGGCTTAAAGATTTATATGAAAAGATGTTCATTACAGAATTATATGTAATCTAGAATAATAAAAGCATAATATGCTAATTAGACCAGAGGGTTGAACAACCTTCCTGACAAAGCCAGGGCTGCAAGGTCCAAGCCCTTGCATGAATTTCGTGCATTGGGCCTCTAGTGGTAATATTAAAATATATGAGACAGCATAGGTATACAACAGTTGAAGAATGGATAAACATCAAATTGTCTGACAGTAGAGGGTTTCCAATCCATATGTCTGTTGGCCATCTGTACCTGCTCTTTAGGTAAATGTCTATTCAGGTCCTCTGCCCCTTTTTAAATTGTTTTGTTTGTTTTTTTTGCTGTTCAATTGTATGAGTTTTTAAATAAATTTTGGATATTAACTCCCTATTGAATGTAGCATTGGCTAATATATCCTTCCCTTCAATAGGTTGTCTTTTTGTGTCATATGGTCCCATTTGTTTCTTGTTTATTTTCTTTCCCTTGCCTGAGGACACAGTTGGAAAAAAATCCTATCTAATAATAGAGAAACATGGTAATTAATCATACCTTCGCTACGCTTCCCATTGGCTAATCAGGGCGATATGCAAATTAACTGCCAACAAAGATGGCAGCCGGCAGCCAAGCAGCTGAAGCGAACATGAGGCTTGCTTGCTCCAGTGATGGAGGAAGCCAAGGTTCCCCGCCTGCCGCAGCCCGACTCTGAGCTCCAGTGTAAGCAACAATGTTGCAATTATAGAAGCTAAACAAACCCCAGATATCTGCTTTCAGCCAGCCGGACTCGAGCTGGAGCCACAACAAAGTTTCAATTATAGAAGGTAAATAAATCCGAGAATAAAAAAAAAAAAGAAAAAAAGGAGAGACTGGGAGCTTCAGTTGCAGGCTTGGTCCACCTGAAAACAGCCATCAGCCCCTCACCCAGGCTGGCCAGGCACCCAAGCGGGACCCCCACCCTGATCCAGGATACCCTTCAGGGCAAACCAGCCGGCCCCCACCCGTGCACCAGGCCTCTATCCTATATAGTAAAAGGGTAATATGCAAACTGACCCTAACAGCAGAAAGACTGGGAATGACTGGTCACTATGACACACACTGACCACCAGGGGGCAGACGCTCAATGCAGGAGCTGCCCTCTGGTGGTCAGTGCGCTCCCACAGCGGGGGGAGCTCTGCTTAGCCAGAAGCCAGGCTGATGGCTGCCAGTACAGCGGTGGTGGTGGGAGCCTCTCCTGCCTCCTCAGCAGCGCTAAGGATGTCCGATTGCAGCTTAGGTCTGCTCCCCGCTGGCAAGTGGACATCCCCCAAGGGCTCCCGGGCTGCCAGAGGGATGTCTGATTGCCAGCTTAGGCCCAATCCCCTGGGGAGCGGGCCTAAGCCAGCAAGTGGTCATCCCCCGAGGGGTCCCAGACTGCGAGAGGTCACAGGCCGGGCTGAGGGACCTTCCCCCCACCCCAAGTACACAAATTTTTGTGCACCGGGCCTCTAGTATATTATAAGAGGAATGTCAGATGTTCACTTCCTCTGTTTTCTTCTAGTTTTATAGTTTTGGGTCTCACATTTAATCTTTAATCCATATTGTGTTTATTCTTAATTTGGTGTAAGAAAGTGAGCCACTTACATTTTTTTTTTGCATGTATCTGTCCAGTTTTACCAGCACCATTTTGAAAGGACTGTCTTTGCCCCACTGCATATTCTTGCCTCCTTTGCCACAGATTAATTGACCATATAAGTGAGGGTTCTTTTATGGGCTACTGCCTGCCCCCATTGAACTGGGTGTCTGTTTATATGCCAGTACCATGCTGTTTTTATTAGTGTAGACACTTGTAGTATAGTTTGATATCAGGGAGTAGGATGCCTCCAACTTTGTTCTTTCTCAAGACTTCTTTGGATATTAGGGATCTTTGTGGTTCCATATAAGTTTAGGATGAGTTGTTCTGAGAAGAAGGCCATTGGTGTTTTAATAGGGATTGCATTGAATGTGGATATTGCTTTAGTCAGTAAGGACATTTTAACAATATTAATCCTCCTAACCCATGAGCATGTATATCCTATCATTCCATTTATTTGTATCCTCTTCAATTTCTTTCTTCAGTGTCGTATAGTTTTCAGTCTATCGGTCTTTCATTTCTTTGGTTAAACTTATTTCTGGATATTTTATGCTTTGTGGGTAAATTTGTAAATGAGATTTTTAAATTTTCTCCTTCTGATTATTCATTATTGCTGTATAGAAATGCAATAGGTTTCTGATTCTCTATCCGGCAACCTTACTGAACTCATTGATTGGTTCTGATGGAGTTTTTTTGGGTGGAATCCTCAGGTTTTTCTACATATTGTGTCACGTCCTCTGCAAATAGTGAGAGTTTTTCTCCTTCCTTTCTGATTTGTATGCTTTCTATTTCTTTGCCTTGTCTGACTGTTGTGGCCAGGACTTCCAATACTGTGGGAGCACAAGTGGTGAGACTGGGCATCCTTGTCTTATTCCTGATCTTAGTTATTAGAGAATAATGTTTCAGCTTTTCACCATTGAGTATGATCATAGCTGTAGGTTTAGGAATCATATTTTTAATAAAAATTGTTGTTATTATTATCAAATTGTATCCAATTTGGGAATTTAAATTGTATGTACATTTTGGTATTGTAGATTTTACTACGATGAACAGCATTAAATATAAAATTTTGTGTTAATGCCTGATATTTTCTCTTTAGGAGTAATTCCTGCAAGAGATATTTTTGGGTTAAAGAATAAAGCATTTTAAGGCATATATATATATATATATATATATATATATATATATATATATAATCTAAAATATGTCCAGAACTATTTACATTCATATGTAGCAAAGGATGTGGTTCCCATTATAAATTATTTAAATTTTACTTAATTATATTTTGAAATAGTTTATAATCAAGAATAAAAACAATAACTATCCCCCAGAATCAGTGGAAATATATCCCCCTCTCTGAGATCTTAAAATTTCAAACATTCGGCTAATTTAGAAAGTGCAGGGAGCAGAGGACTCCAGCTCCTGCTCTGAGTGCAGTGGGAGCCCCTGGAGGCTGAGGAGAGGCGTTAAGTGAGGGAGGCAAGAGCATTCGGGCTGTGGTGTGAAGCAGAGACTGAGGGGCCCCAGTGGAATCGGGGCTCAGAGAGGGGGGACCTGCATTAATCAGAGTGAGATGCTGGAGGCGCGGACAGGCTGTCCAGGAAGTGTGGGCAAGTGGAAGCTTGTGAGCCCATTGGACACAGAGCCCAGGACTCCCAGGTGGCCAGGGCCAAGGGATGGACACTTCAGGTTACAGACTTTAGGGTGGTTTTCTGTGTTGGAGTCAAAGGTGAAGAGACTCCCAAGCAGACATTTCAGAGGAGGCCCTGGGGTCACCAGTGATGGTGGCTGCACCGGGAGTCAGCCCTGGGGAGGCAGAGGTCTCATGTGGATTCTCCATCTTCCTCCAGGTCGTCATTTCTACCAACTCCTTCTGGTGTCTCTCTCTGTCTGCACAACAGCCCACAATGATGAGGTCACTGGTCTTCCATCTGCTCCACCTCCCTGTCTGCCTCGCCTTGGTCCAGCTGCTCACGCCCTGCTCAGGTAGGGACCATCTGCATTTATGTACCTGGAGCACTAACCTATAATGACCAGTCAGAACCTTGGAGTCCTCCCCACACCTGGGAGGCCCAGCCAGACTGTACACCTGTCAGAACTGAGTCACTTTCTAGGTGTTTCTTACCTCACCCTCCCTGCCTGGGACAGCCCTGTACCCTCTGATGTCCAGCTCCTTCTGATGGAGCACCCCTTTCTACTCACCAGCTGAGTTTGCTGTGATTGGACCCCCTGAGCCCATCCTGTCCATGGTGGGTGAAGTTGCTGAGCTGCCCTGTCACCTGTCCCCGAAGATGAGCGCTGAGACCATGGAGCTGATGTGGCTGCGATCCGGCCTCAGGCAGGCGGTGTGTGCATATGGAGATGGCAAGGAAGAAACAGAGATAGCAGAGTATCGAGGGAGAACGTCGATTTTAAGAGAGAACATCGCTGAGGGGAAGGCTGCTCTGCGGATTCACAAGGTCAGAGTCTCTGACAGTGGAACCTACCAGTGTTATTTCCAAGATGCCGATTTCTTTGCAAAAGCCCAGGTGGAGCTGAAGGTTGCAGGTGAGCCTGAGGCTGTTCTGAGCTCCTTCTTCTGTGGGGCCTGGGGACACAGGCTCCAAGCCCACCTCACAGACTCCTCCCTACACCCCAGCAGGTGCCTCCCTCCTCCACCTCTGCTTCTCTGGGCCCTTGACAGACACAGGTTTTCCTGCAGGAAGGGCTCCTCCTGAACCAAGTGAAGACATCCCTCCTGCAGCCACCAGGGTCTCAGCAGGGATGTGGGATCAGGACAGGAGGCCGAGAAAACCTCCCCTCGTGGGGGGCACACAGTTGTGTAGGTTCAGCTGTGTTCCAGGCAGTGGACATGGGCTCCCCAGGGGCTCACTGCTGTGGGTTCAGGGAGGCTGAGCTGTAGGAACATCACCTGTGCTGCCATGTCCTCCAACCAATGGCCCCAGGATCACTCCTGCAGTTGAACAAGTAGAGCTCAGACTAGTTGCAGTGAGGGGAACACACAGTGTGGAAACATGGGGTGTCCCCATGAGGGGGTGTCAGGGAGACTTGGTGTAACTTTGGGCTGATAGGGGACTAGGGGAGGGTTTATGGAAGGAGGGGTTTGCTCTAGATCAGATGCTGTCAGGAGGGTGTGGGGGTAACTGATCACTCACACCTAGGACAGGGGATGATTGCTCATTGCTGTGGTCTGGACACTGTTCATGTTTTATTCTGTGTTCAGATATGATGACTGAGTGGTCTTGATTTGTCCTGACCCATCACAGGGACAAAGCATCCTTGTCTGATGCTGCTGTTCCATGACATTGTTCATGTCCAACATCATTTCTCTTTCTCAGGGCACAGCCCTGCCTTGCACAGGAAGGAAGGAAGGTGGGGGTGGGAGGTCCTGGCTTTCTTCCTGCAGTGCCTCTTCACTCAGCTTCAGTCCCTTCCTGAGACCACAGCTCCTCTTAAGAAATCCCTCCCTACAGGACTGGGTTCTTCCAAGTCTTCAGGAAGCTTTCTCCGACCCCCTGACCCCCTCGGGTTAAGAGTTTAGGGACTGGTGGTGACAACTCACTGTTCCAGGCCCTGGGTCAGCTCTCCCCCATGTAGTCTATCCCCTTCCACAACCACAAAATAAAAATTCCCCTGAGTCCAAAGACCCGAAAAAGAGGCTGTAAACTCTAGATTAATGATATCAAGAGTTCACCACGGTGACTCTCATACCAGGAACAGTGTGGGCTGCAGCAATACAACGTGCACATCCTCCCCACCACCTGGCAAAGCCTAAAGCTCACACAGGACAGGCAGGATATGTAGGGGACGGGAGGTATGACCCGCCAGATAAGCGGGAATGACTACATGTTTAGGGTGGGTGAGGCCCAGTTCCAGGAACCAGCACTGGGCAGGGGGAGGGTCCAGGTGTCTCTGAGGCGATCCATGGGAAGCAGTTTCTGTTCTGGCCCAGATCCAGCTGGATCGAGCTCAAGGGTCCATGAGGGTCAGGCAGTGGTCCCCTCATGGAACAGTCTCCCCTGCACAGCACACGTGGCAAACTGCTCCTCAGTGAACCCTGCCTGCGTGATCTAGTGGAGTGAGCCCCCGTTCCCGATGGACCCTCACCAACACAGAGGCCTCCCCATGACTCAGGCTCACTCTTCCTTCCCCAGCCCTGGGCTCTGATCTTCACATTGAAATGAAGGGCTATGAGGATGGAGGGATCCGTGTGGAGTGCACGTCTGCAGGCTGGTATCCACAGCCCCACGTAGAGTGGAGAGGTGACGGGGGAGAGAGCTTGCCCGCCATGGCAGCACCTGGGGCTGCAGATGGAGAGGGTCTGTATGCAGTCACATCATCTGTGATCCTGGAAGGCGGCTCTGGGAAGGGGGTCTCCTGTGTCGTCAGAAACCCCCTGCTCAGCCAGGAGAAGACAGCCAGGCTCTCCATTGCAGGTGAGTGCCTGGCCCCACACTGAGCTCAGCTGTGGCCACTGGGAGAAGGAGGCCTGAGTGTCTGCTGCTGACCTGGGTCTGTGCAGTGATCATAAGGCTCAGAGCAGCGACCTGGGTGCCCTTTGCCCCTTGAAGCTGTTCATGTCACAGACATTTTCTGAGCATCTCTGCTGCCTCCACCTGGGACAGGCGATGGGGATGGGCAAATGGTAAATGTCAGCAAACACATGACAAAGTGGGGAAAGTGTGTGCAGACACGTCCTGGAGAAAGGGCTGAGCTCCTCAAAACATGAAACAGCTCAGTACAGAAATGAACGGTTCCCAGAAGCAAATACCTCGGGGAAGAGTGTCCAGTCTCGCTGAGCAGGGAGACGTTCCCACCTGTGAGATGGGCAGCAAACAAACCATGTGGTTGGTAACACTGATGGCAGGACTGTGGGGAGGCAGACACTCTTAGACGTGTTGGTATAATTTGGTGTATTTTTGTATAAATTGACACCTTATATTGGGGGTCAATAGAACAATATTAATCCAAACCACTTATTTATTGACCCAAAATCCCAGTTCTAGGAATTTATCTGAAAGATCAGCTCGGGGTTGTGTGAAATAACTGATGGACAAAGTTATTTCTTTTTTAAAAAAATATATTTTTATTGATTTCAGAGAGCAAGGGAGAGGGAGAGAAAG